TCCTATTACCCCCCCACCCCCCCACCCCCCCCACCCCCCACCACACACACACCCTGTCCCGATTTTTCGCACTTGCTGTCTGGTCACCCTATCTGCCACTTTCATTTCAAGATAGGTTGAAGCTATTGAGCTGATACTGTTAATACTTAACACTTCATATTATCAAAGCACTTTATATGCTATCTAGTTGATCCCCACAACAGTTCTCTCAAGAGAGGAGTTAGGTTTATTTTACAGATGGGGAAATAGAGGCAGAGAGGTGAGGTGATTAGCTAAAAGTCACAAAGGAAATCTCTGTTAGCACAGGATTAGATGTCAGAAGTTCCTAATTCTCAATTCTGTGCTCTATTAGACCATCACCCCCTCACCTCAATCATAGGGCCTAGTCTACACTGACAATGCTAAAGTGCTGCAGCTGCGCTTTAAGGTGCCTTGTGTGGTTGCGGCGCAGCACTGGAAGAGAGTTCTCCCAGCGCTCTAAAAAACCCACCTCCACGAGAGGCGTAGCTGCCAGCACTGGTGCACTGTCTACACTTGGCACTTTACAGCGCTGAAACTTGCTGCGCTCAGGGGGTGTTTTTTCACATCCCTGAGCGAGGAAGTTGCAGCGCTGTAAATTGCCAGTGTAGACAAGCTCTTATTCCCTATCCCTGGATATACAGTTCCTGAGTGTGTAGGCTACGTTTTATACTACAGAAAATGCTGATGTCTTTTTCTCTATCCTCCTATGTGCCCTAGGCATGTCCAGATCAGCAACGAGTCAGCAATCGACTTCTACAGAAAGTTTGGCTTTGAGATCATTGAGACGAAGAAAAACTATTACAAGAGGATAGAGCCAGCAGATGCTCATGTCCTGCAGAAAAACCTCAAAACCCCTTGTCTTGGCCAGAACGCAGATGTGCAAAAGACCGACAACTGAACAAAACCCCAATGAACACTTTCTTGCACTTGCTTGTCGCCAAATAAGGAAAGAGAGGCCTGTTGATTTTTTTTTTTTTTTTCCTTCCCTTCCCTTCATCTTATTTTTTTTTCTTGCCCTCTCTCCAACAAAATGTAATGCTTTTCCCAAGGATTGTCCAATCATGTTTGGGTTTTTTAGCTCTCCTTTCTGTTCGACAGGATGGGAAGAGGTGTACAGATCTCTTTAGTCTGAGGTGTGGAGGGCTTGGGTAGGCTTTCCTGAAGTCAGTTTCCTTCGGAGAGTGATTTATCTCATGCTTTCACACCGAAAAGTAGGGCCTAAAAAAAATCTGTGTATTGAAAGAAAAAGCAATATCTTGTTCTTTTGAGTTCTATAATACCAGTTTGGTTTTTACAGCCCCTGAAATATGTGTGAACTTCATTTTAGCAATTCTCTTGTCCCTCTTCTCTCTTCTTCCTCAGGCCCCCCAAAATGTTTAATCTTTCCAAATATTTTTGTTTGACTTTTTCTCCATCTCTTGCTGAGAAGAGCAGGCTGGTTTACCAGCACATTTATTGTGTCTGGGCTGAAAGTTATCACCCCAGCTGGTGCTACATTCCTTGATTGACCCAAAAAAGGATTCAGAGTGAGTTTTAGTTTCTTCCTTTTCAGCTACCGTCACCATTCATCCTACCCCATTCCCACCAGACTCTTGCCAGGGTAAGAGCTAAATCTAATGTCAGCAAGAAGAGCTTTGCAAAAACATGTATCCTGAGGTGAGGTGCTTGTTTTAAGAGCAAGTGAAATTCTCCAGGACTCAGCTGTCCATAAGGGGCAGTTCTTTTTATCCAGACTACTGGAATGGGAGAAGGGACTGTAAGCATCATGTCCACTTCAATTCTAAGGCAAGTGCCTGTGTCCAAGTGTTAGTTTGGTGCTAGGGATGTCAAACCTGTGGTAACAAAGAAACCTGGGATTGGAGCAAGGGTGGAGGAACCAGGCAGTGAGACTGAGAAGGGAAACCAGAGTCCTGACCCTAATCAAATAGCTTTGCAGGGGATCTCAGAAATGGCCTGGCCTCTGCTTGGCTTGCTGAGTTAATATGCTCTGTGGGTATGAAGGGATTAAGAACTGCTCTTTGAACTCCTTTGAAGACTTTTCTCCCATCTGCCAGTGATGCAGTTCTCCTCTCGGAAAGGGTGTTTCATGGCGCACCAGAGAAAGCAGCTCAGTCTGGAACATCTTATGGGATTTGGAAAATAGGCTGACTGGCTTCTTCCTAGTACTGTAACGTAAAAACTACAGTCAACTTTTTACTGAGCTCTGCTTTGCATCCTTTCATGCTTCATTTGCGTTAATTTCAGTGCTACCTTGTACACGCTGTTGCCAGCAGTTACATACCAACTTGACCTAAGAGACTCCTCCAAGCATCTGGGAAATGCACTGAATTGAAACTGACCCTCTTGCCCCATCACCTAGATTGAGATTAAACTGCATTCCTTTGCCATTAGTGTTTTTTTTAAATTCAGCTGCCTGTTGAGCCCATCTGTTTCAAAAGCCTTCAACCCATGGTGCACATAGCAGTATACATCTTGTGAGCAGGTGCTGTTGCTCTGAGGCTGACTTGGGAACCAAGGATTTTGACGTTGGGGGTGTGAGAATAAGGCAGGAAAAAAATCTCTCACCTCATATTATGCAATCTACTTCCCTGGTATCAAAAAGAGGCAACCCCAAAACTATCACTACTCACCATGAGGTGCACAAAGGTTACTGAAGTGTAGCTATTTGAATACATTGATGAGCCTGAACTGGATAATTGCTCATTGACTTCAGTTTCTGGGTTTATGCTAGTTGAGTATTGGTGGTAGAACTCCCCGTTGGCTTTGTAAAAGCCTAGCTACAGTGGCCAGGGGAACTGTGTTCATATCACCCTTTGGTGGACTCTAGCTAGAAAAGTGCTGACAGTGTTTCCTTGGCCACAGATTACCTAGTTTTGTAAAAGTTTTATAGCATAGTTAGACCCTGCCTACACTGATTATGGAGGCAGTTTCAGCACCTTTCTAGCAAGAATAGTGTTGAAGCACAATTAGTTCCTCAGATGCCAGTGTGGTTTCTTGAACAGTTGTAGACAGGACTAAAAGGTGTTAATGGGGGAGAGAAAATGCATTGGAGGGTGTTCATGCAGCACAGCTATAGTTCAGACCATAGCTGTTTTTTGTGCCAAGCCAAGTGATCTCGATTCTTCTAGAATTCAGCGGGAAGGGTTTGGGTTGGGGAGGTGAGTATAGGGGTGAGCTTTTTAGGACTTGCTGTTGTAGGCTTCCATAAATCAGTGGTTTGCAGGCAGTTTTCCTGCAGGTTTCAAAAGCATAAACGAGTCTGGTGTCTGGACTAGCTTGGTTTGTCTCTGTCCCATTTTTGCTTTGGGCTGCCATCAGTCTATGAATGTATCCCTCAAAAAAAATTCTTAGAACTCCCATTCCACAGCAAACCACTCTCACTAACTTCCAACTAAATAATTTATAGGAAGTGGAAGGGAGAGAAACCAGAAATCAAGGCTCCTTTTCTCAGACTATTAGTCTTGGAAAACGGTTTTTTGTACGCTTAAGCACACACATAATAGGTTTAATCTAAAACCTCTTCAAAAGCTCCATCCCATACCTGGGAAGAAGAGCAATAGTTCTGGCTACCAAACGGTTGTATTAATATTAGTGTACCCAGACTGTTGGGTGTGGAGGAGAACTTACTCGGTGCTGTCAGTAGGAGACACTGGAACAGTGTTGAGTATGAGTTTGTCTGCAGTAAATTTCTGTTACTTCAAATGTTACTGCAGCAGGACCTCCCATTAGCTTGAAAATAACAGCATATGCACAACAATTAAAAAAGTTAGAAGTGTCTATGAAATAATCACCAGCTCTTCTGTTCTGGATAAAGAGCTTGCAGGCAAAATTTAGGCTGTATACATGCAAGTTGCTTTTAAACCTCTCTACAGTTGGTTATGTCATCCATCAGTTGAACCATGAAGATAATGTCCTCCATAAAGAGACATTCACTACCAGGAAACCGTAATATAGGGGCAAGGGAAAAGAAGCACCCAGAACTATGTCCCTCATTTGCGGGGGCTGGAGTGTTTTGGTTTTTTTTGTATACACAAATGGGCTGGGTTTACATGGTGCAGTTAATAGTTAAGCCTGCCGATTGAACATGACATGCTGTTACAGCTAAAACAAATAAGTGATATTGTGTTAATTCTTGATGGTGCCCTGTGATGTCTAGTAAATTTGAACCAAAAACCCCCACTGTTACATTCTCCTCCCCTGTGCTGTGATCCAGGGTCAGCAGCTATGCACAGAGTCTGTTTTGTAATGTGTGTGCTGACTTGGATGTTTTTTTGGAATCTGCAACTGCCTCGTACTGAATATGGCTAAGATTGCCCCTGCCTCTTGATTAGGACTTTGTCTGAATGTGCCGGTGCACTGTGCAGCTTACAGATGCATCCTCAATGTTACGACTTTTAAATTGCAAGGGTAATCAAATTCTTTACAAATATGATGGTCCATTTTTAATCTAGATCATTGCCCTTGTACATCAGGAGCATGTTTTGTTTTTCTCAAACTCTTGAAAGTAAAACTTTTAAAAATACTGTTCAGAATAAACGTGCACTATTGGAGTTATGTCATCCATGATTTGTCTTGTGCATTTCTTGCAACTTAGCTTTGTTTTCCATCAATCCTTGGTCTGTCTGAAATCAGGTGTGGGGTTTTACTCAGGTTCTTCACAGGCCATGCAGCTTTCCTGTCCTGATGATCTTCAACAAGTTGAGCAGCATGAACTGTGGTATGGATCTGGCAGTGTGGTGATTGCTGTGTATAAGTGACTATCGGGGAAGTGACTTTTCCAAAATCAAGGGCCACTCACTGAAATCCACTGCCTTATGTGGGACCAGAGCAATTGTGGACACTGAGCCGATCTACTTCTGCGGTATTGCACAAGGAGAGGGGCAGCAACACAAAACATGTTAGGCTTTGTAGGTTAAAAAACACTAAACTGTCTCTGGAAAATAATTGCCAGCCATTGCAGACCATGAAGAACAAATCGTGTGTTTCCGGTGAGAAGTGCTATAAAAGCAGGCAGTTGTAGTCTGTACCTGTAGAAGTAAGTGGTCTTAAGGTGCAGAGAGCACTGTGAATCTGTTTTTGATCAAAGAAAATGTTACTATTCATCCTGTTCCAACTGCTGCCCAGCCTCATCTTGTTCATAGCGTCACTTGCTAGAGCTGGTCAGGAATGTTTTGACAAAACAGTGTTTGCTGAAAAATGCCAATTCAACAAAACCAAAACTGTTAGTACAAAACTAATTTCCAAACTTGAAAAATGTTGAAAAGGTTTTGATATCAAAAGATCTTGTTTCAAGATTTTCTAAATGAAAAATTTCAAGTTTTTGATTTGAAACTACTTGTTTAGAAATTTATAAAAAAAATTAAAAAATTAATAAAAAAAGCTAAGGACAAAAGTGAAAAAATTGAAACAAAGCTTTGAAATTATCAAAATGAAATGTTCTGAGTGACCTGAACTAACTTTTTTCCATTTATTGGTTTGTAAAAACTTTTAAGTTGACTTTTTTCATCCTGATGTGGGATGGAACTTTCTGAGATTTAAAAAAAAAAAATCTTGCAGGATGGGAAAAATGTTTCCTGCTCAGACCTACTTCTTGCCCTTTTTCACTTGCAATTTCCATTCCCACAGTTCTTTCCCACTATTGCTCTCCTTTGCTTCAGCCCCCACAGCTACCCCCCAAAGCATAATTTATATTATAAATATATAACCCTGCATGCAAATTGCCAAGCACAATTCAGACACTAGTGCAATATCAATTATAACCTGGAGGAGTGTGTGACAAGGATTATGGCCACACTTAGTTCCCTTACCTCCAAAAACAGCTGGAAATGCCTCAAACCTTTTCTTTTTTTAAAGTTAGGCTATATTCTGATCTTAAACCACAGTGGAAGGGATCATCATCTAAGATGCTGCAGGAGGCAAACATGTTGCTGGACTTGGTCCATCACTGTAACCTTACCCTGGGAAGTGAAATTTAGACAATGATTGAGATTTGGTAGTATTAAGAGGTTTCTTTAGGATTGGTGGTAGTGTCCTCTCTAAGAGAGGCATGGACAATCTGTCAGTAGTAGCTCCAGGCACTGCCTAAGAAGGGGAAAAACTTGCCTGTTTTTGTTTTTTCTTTTTAAAAACCTCCCATTAACTCAGAGAAGGCTGAGAGAGACTCTTTAAGCACTACAAACAAACAAAATGACCAATTTAAAGTACTGTATATACTCATTCATTAGCCCATTCGTTTATAAGCCGACCCCCCCCCCCAAGATGGTTAGGTAAAAATAGCAAAAACTGTATGACCCTTTCATAAGCTGACCCTATATTTCCGGGGTTGGCAAACTTTGGCTCCTGGCCCATTAAGGTAAGCCGCTGGTGGGCCTGGACGTTTTGTTTACCTGTTTGTTTACCACAGGCATGGAGCCCCTCAGCTCTCAGTGTCCGGTTTGCCGTTCCCAGCTATGATTCCATAGAGTTTTAAATCATCAAATTTTAGTGCAGACCCATTTATAAGACGACCCCCGCTCTTTGATGCCTCACTTTTTTACCACAAGTATTCGGCTTATGAACGAATATGTACGGTAATTGCAACATCTGTTTCCTTAATACATCCAGCAAAATTACTTTGTAGGTCAACTTTATCCCAAAATGCTAAATACAAGGCACCACAAGCTGCCCTAGAGTTAAGCTTCTGATGCAGTTTCTGTATAACAGCAATTTTTCATAGTGCTCTAAAATGTGTGTGTATAGTCAAACTGGCTTGAAAACTGCTGTGCAAGCAGATGTGATCACTTGATCAAGGGATTCCCAAGATACAAACTCCCCCATTAAAATTACCTGCTTTTAAAATTTCCAATTTAGCTTTTTGAGCAAAGATGGACAATAGTATGGGCAGTACCCACATAACTTAGATCATGGGACTTGCCCTGCTCACTGCCATTGTCTTGTCACCAAAAAAAACCTGCTCCCAAAAGCAGTAGTTGAAGTTATTGGTTCTGCAGTGTGGTGTGCCAGGCTGCTGTGAGCCTGGATAGAATGCTGTCGCTGAGCTGCTAGCTGCACTCCTGCCAGAGCTGCAGATACCAGCTGTCGCTTGACTTACTGGGGAACCTGAAGGGCACAGCTGGTGCTAAAGCTGTATCGGGAGTGGAACTTAGAGCTTTTGTCCCACCAGCAGCTGCAGAAGCTGGCAAATTTGTGCTCCACACTGCATGTCTGCTTGCCCCTGGACTGCTCTCGTCACTTCTGCTGAGTCATCAGCTGAGGACTGCACTCTCTGTCCCTTGCAGTATTACAGCCCCCACCCTCCACTCCATTACCAAAGTCCATCTAGCACATCTCATCCAATTTGCCTTGTAGTTGTGTCTTTGCCGCTCACTGTCACCCAAAACACAGCACAGTTGAGGGATATGTGTCTTGCTTAGACATGCATCAATAATTTCATAATAGAAATGAAGAGAAGGAAACAGGCATCTGAAGTCTACATGATTTTGCTGTAAATGACAGACTATTCAACAAGCCTGTAAACTATGAGATGGACATAACCATGGGAATTAGGAGAACGTGAATTATGGTCTTGTCTACTGATTACTGTTTATATAGCTGCACTTTATACCCCTTATTACTGACCAGGTCCTTTTACCTAGAACCCTGTGTGGATACAAAAATGTGGATCTGCAAGAATCAACATGTATCTGACCTGTGATCTGCACTCAGTTTTTTATCTACCTACACTACACCCACAGCAGCATGCTATCTCACAGTGCCTCTCAGGAGGAGCAGCTTGTGTGTGTGCATGTACTGCATATAGCAGGGGTGGCCAAACCGCAGCTCCTGAGCCACATGCGGCTCTTTTACAGTTGAAGTGCACTCTCCCCCCATACTCCACCTACCAGACCGGGAGGGGGTAGGTGGAGAATAGCTCAGGGCTTCTGCCCTGCAGCAGGGTGGTGGGGCTTCAGCCCCAGCGGAGGAACCTGCTGGGGCTCAGGATTTCAGCAGGATTGGGGCTGAAACCCAGAGATCCCCTTTCCTGCAGGTTTAAAGACCCAAGCCCCCCACTACCTTGCCACAGGGCAGAAGTCCCGAGATCCAGGTGTTATGCCCAGCTCTTGAACTTCTGAAGATTATTGTACACGGTCAGTAAGTTTGACCACCCCTGGTATGTAGGATCTCAAAGGCGGGGAAGCAGCTGGCTGCAGCTCATAGCCTATGAGGATCTGGATGGTGGGGAAGCAGCCTTATGGGCTGCAGGCAACTGCTTCTTGATCCATCACCTCCCCTTTTCTCTGTATATGAGGGGAGAGGGAATATAGGATCTGGAAGGCAGGGAAGCAGCCTATATTCCCTCTCCGCTGCATACTGAGATAGGGGAAGTGATAGATCAAGACAGGCAGCAAAATCCCTTGTGCTCCTATCACAACAGTTTAAGTAGCCAAGCTCTTTAGGAAACCTCTCTGAATTTCATTATTGTGGTATAAGGTCAGTTGGAGAGGGAGGCAGCTGCTTCTGCTAAGTACATACGGGGAATATAGGATTTGGAAGGCGGGGAGCAGCCTCTGCTTCCCCACCTTTGAGATCCTATGTTTACAGCCCAGTGCAGATACAAATTTTTTATCTGCATGTGATCCGCAAAATTGGTCCACAGATTTGCAGGGCTCTACTTATACCCCAATCCTACAAGACACTTGAGTATCAGCCCCTACCCCATTTTACAAGTGTGAAGCTGCTCAACATCACTTCAAGGAAACCTGACAATAGAAGCCAGGTCTTTCATATGGCAGATCCAAATGCACTCAACTATACAGCTTCTCAGAATAAGTGTGCAGTTGTGGGTGGTCTATAGTGATCAGACTGGACATACTGAGCTACCTCTCCTAACTGTGCAGTTAGAGAATTTGCTAAGATTGCCACATGGATATTGTCAAATTGCAAATGGAAGGGGAGGTAGTGTCAGGGATTCACAGGATCAGTGCTATGCCCCAGCTTTGGAATGGTCTCTGAAGGAACTTCTACAGTGTGCCAGACTCTCTAAAGGTCTCACTCTTCCTCCAGGATAAGCCATGCGACTTTACTGCTTCCTTAGGCAGGACCTCTGGCCTGCAGCACGTCTGCTTCACACTGTGACCTCTGTTCAGTTAATCTAGCTGAGACAGACCTCTGATGGAGATTTGTACACTTTTAGGGATCAATGCACGTCTCCAAGCAGTTGCAGTGACACTCACACAGCATTGTCAAAACAGTAGGGTTTATTAGGCATCTGGAACACAATAGTCCCTAGGTTGACATAGAGTAGGGTGACCAGATGAGGGGAAGAAAATATCGGGACACATGGGGGGAAGGAGTGCCCGCCGGCAAAGCAAAAAAAAAAGCCGAGTCCTGCCCCAGCTGAAGGGGGGAGGGGGGAAAGCCGAGTCCTGCCGTCTGGTCACCCTAACATAGAGGCATGAAGAATAAAGCATAGCCCGTTCTGGTTAGATCAGAGCCTAGCCAAGCTGTAGTGAACCCCCATTGTTCAAGCTCTGCTCTCTCCATCCGTCTAACCTCTGTCAGATTCCCGGGTGAGCCCTGAATGCTTCCTCCAGCCCACACTTAACCGACCCTCCTTTTAGCCATACTTCAAAAACAGACTTAAAAGAGAAACTGCAGAGCTACAATTCGTTTGCAAACTTAACACCATGAATTTGGGCTTGAATAGGGACTGGGAGTGGCTGGCTCACTACAAAAGCAATTTTCCCTCTCTTGGTATTGACACCTCCTCATCAATTATTGGGGGTGGACCACATCCACCCTGACTGAATTGGCCTTCAACATTGGTTCTCTACTTGTAATTCCCTTCTCTTCATGTGCCAATATATATTTATGCCTCTATCTGTAATTTTCACTCCATGCATCTGAAGAAGTGGGTTTTTTACTCAAGAAAGCTTATGCCCAAATAAATCTGTTAGTCTTTAAGATAACACTGGACTCCTTGTTGTTTTTGTGGATACAGACTAACACGGCTACCCCTCTGATACTTGACTGCAAGCTAGAAGCAGGGCCTGCTGGGGCAAGACTATGTAAGAAACTGCCTTTCTCTCAGTAGGGGAGTGCAGAAATGAGGTGTGACCTTGTGTGTATCTCTCCATGATGGAAGACCAAGAAATAGCAATGAGAGCTTTCTAGTGTCTGAGGGTGGTGGGTCCTCATGGAGAGTGAACCAGGCACAGAACCCAGGTAGTGGTCTGCTGGGGATAGGCTGGTAGGGAAGACCCCAAACAAGCATTTCCCAAACTGTGGGATGTGACCCCCCGGGGGCTGCAAAAGTGTACCGGACAGTTGTGAGGCATGGGGGGAAAAAAGAAAATGCAAGAACGCATTTGTAAAGAAGAAAAAATTAAAACAAAAAAAAGGCACTGGCAGCCATGCAATTCCTATTGGCACACAGTTCACATGGGCCCTGGGAACGATGCTGGCATGGCATCCAGGTCCCACTCTGGTGGGCTGGGACCTCAATGTGCCAGCTGCGGATTCTTGTCCTCTGAGCACTGGTGACTGCTCACCAGCAAGGAGAGGTAAGGAGCAGGGATTGGGGAGGGGGATGCAGCTCGGCTCCCCTGTAGGCTGCAGCTCCTTGGGAAGGGGTGGATATAGAGGCCAGGGGGGTCAGGCTGCTGATGAGGGGGGCACCTGAGAGGGGATAAGGAGGGTTAGGCTTGGGGTGGAGCATGGCCAGTGACTGTTTTCTTCTGTGCCTCTGAGGTGGCAAACCTATTTATAACTTTTAATATAAATGTAGGATCCTACTATTACCATGTTTGGAGTAGTGGGGTGCTCTAAAAACAGTTTTTCACATTTTTAATTTTCAAACCCCACCACCACCTTTCACACCCCATGGGGCCACATTAAGAGAGGTGATCCCAAAGGGAGTGGTGGCATGAAAGAGTTTGGGAACCTCTGTAGGTGTAAACAAAGTTAGAAACAGGCAGATGTAGGAAGTGGGGCACATAGCTGGTTTACGACATAGGGCCGTAAGGCTCCTGGAGTCGAGGGATGGCCCAGGCTTCCCTATAGCACTACCTGGAGCAATGGTGGAAAAATCAAGAAGTGAAGGATTTTGGGAAATCTCCACAGCTAGTGGTAGAGTGACTGAAAATGTCTGTGACTGAAAGGGAAGGATTGTTTTGTTGTTTGGAACCTTTGTATACTCTAGAAGAAGAGATGTGATTTGACTGAATGTCCAAGTCAGCCTAGCAACCTGCAGAAGACAGTCTTCCATGGGGAAATTGCAGCACAGCTGTGCACCTCATGAGGGACGACATATATTAGACCTCTGACAAGCCCCCTGAGGGTTGGGAATGGTGGTCCTAAGAGGGGTGAGTTTCCCTCCTGCAGATCTCAGAAGGCCGACAGTAAGGAAGGAATATAAGTCATTTCTTCTATCTCCCCTCCCACTCCAATCCTCTGGCTACCTACACAGGTCTAGTAAATTCCCAATCCCAAACAAGCTAAATAGGGTTAGCTGTCTGTAGAGAGCCAAAATAGACTCAATAGGGATTAATAAACTCATTAAGGCTCATGGGGACATTATTAATTACCCTACTGTGGCTAAGGGAGGGGTGAACCTAAGAATTTTGAGCTGGGAGGGAGAGGTGTCTCTTAGGCTTATGAGAAGATGAGTAAGCCTCTGATATGTAGCTGGGGATTCTCACATCTTGCAGACCTTGTTAAATCCACAGGAAAAGATGAGAAAGCCCCCATTGCACCCTACAAAACCCCTTGCTCTCCACTCCTTAATAATTGCAAAGATAACCTTCAAAAGGGGAGCTGAGTGTAAACCAATATAGTTTTGTCTGAGACAGTGTGATGCCTAGAGGCATGTGAGCCCCTCCTTGGGCAAACCAAATCCAAGGAGTCCAGCAGACAACCCCGTCTCCCCCTCCCAGGGGGAAGCCCAATGCAGGAATTTCATAGGCGCCTTTGGGTGTATCAAATCCCCCTACAGGGGATTGAGCAAAAGAATGGCAGTGGCCCACCTTCACCCCAGCTTATGGTCATCAGCTCTGGCACTAGGTTTCCAGGGGCCAAGGCTCTGCTTGGAATCAGAGCCAGCCTGAGGATACAAAGCTCTAGCCCTCAAGGGCAATGGCTTTCAACCTTTCCTGACTACTTGTACCCGTTTCAGGAGTCTGATTTGTCTTGCATACCCCAATTTTCACCTCACTTAAAGACTACTTGCTTACAAAATCAGACATCAAAATACAAAAGTGTCACAGTGCTCTGTTACCGAAAAAGGGCTCATTTTCCCCATATAATTATAAATCATTTAGAATAGAAGTATCGTACTTACACTTCAGGGTATAGTATATAAACAAATCACTGCATGAAATTTGTTTGCCCTGATTTCACTAGTGGTTTTTATGTAGCCTGTTGTAAAACTAGGCAAATTTCTGGATGAGTGGATGTAGCCCCTGGAAGACCTCTGTGTACCCCCAGTGGTACCCCCACCCCGGTTGACAACAAGAGCGCTAGGGAATCTGAACCCTGGCATGGGGGGAACCTTCCCATTGGCTGACTGCCTCAGCTGCCCGCCTCCCCAGGAAGAACAGCCAATCAGCGCTGGGCCAGGGGGCCGTTCCCCCCCCCCCCCGCCCTACACACAGCAGGGGGCGGAGGCTCTGCTCTGCCCTCCCCGCCCTCGGCGAGGGAGGGGATGGGAGCATTGGGGCGGGGCCGACCCCCAGCATCGGACAGTCCCCGCAGTGTTGGGCGCTGCTGGGGGCCGCAACCGCCGCCCGACTGGACAAGGACCCAAACCCATTTAGCGACTCCCTGCCAGCCTCTGCGCGCGCTTCCCAGCGTCTCCTTTAAGGAATATTCCCGCCCCCCGCTTCCTGTTCTTGCTGCTCACTTGCTCCGCGGGTTGCCAATCACCGGCAGTTCCTGTTTTGTGCAACCTAAATTGTTGGCCGCTTTTACACTTCTGCAGCCTCTCTGTGTCTGATTGGTCAGTCCGGGGCAGCGATGAGTACGACGCAGGTCTCCCCCGCGGCTGGCTCACTGATTGGTGCAGGCAACACAGCGTGTGGCAGTTGATTGGCTGCTGTGGGCCGCGTGTGTGTCCAGTAGGTTAGGGTGCGAGTGAGGGGCGCTGAGGGGATCGGAGTGGAGCCTGTGGGGGACGCGGGGCGCCCGTCCGGAGGATGGTCCCCGCGGTGGGGCTGCCGAGTCTGCCCTGCCCGCCGGTGAGTGCCGCTCGCTGCCTCCGGGCGGAGCCGAAACCTGGGGGCGGGGGCTGCTGGGCAGGGGCCGGTGCAGCCTCGTCCCGTCCCGCAGCCGTTAACGGCGCGGGGCTCTGCGGGCCGGTGGCTGAGGGCGCTGGGGGAGGTGCCAGCTCCTTGGGCGGGGGGGGCTGGTGCCGATGGAGGGGACCCGAGCGACTCCCTGGAGAGGCAGGAGCGGGAAGCATCCGGCTTTGCCTGGGGCGCCGGCCCCCCGGAGCTGCCCCGTGCTGTGAACCCCCCGTGCGCGCCCCCGTCTTTGTCTGTCTGTGCCGCCGGGTAAACCCGCCCCAAGGGAAGGGCGCCTGCTGTAGTCCTAGTACAGGTCAGCTCCGTTCAAAGCCTCCTTCGCTTGGTGAGTCCACAGGCCTCAATCTTGAGCTGGGATTCCCTGTTGGGACAGATCCAGGAGAGCAGTAGTTGCGTGTACAGCTTATAGCTGTTTTGGCCAGGGGTGTGGGGCAGGAGAGGGGTAGTCAGTAGATGGCCCATGGGCCACATCTGGACTTCCAGAAGCTTTTCAATGGGCCCTAACATCTTTTTATTTACTTATGATTATCGTTGTTGTTTTTATTATTATTTTTCTCTGGAGTCTGGACCCTGACTATACCTTGACCAAGCAATTTGGATCTTGGCAAAAAATAATTGACTATCCCTGGTGTGGAGCTTTTAATCAAAATAGTTACTTGGGTACAGCCCCTGTGTGGATGTACTTATAAGGAACACATATACCATTATATCAGTATAGCTTATTCTGCTTTTTCTATTGGAATAAGCTATAACACTATAAATAACTTTATACTGCTATAGCTGCATCCATACTATGTGAAGCTGAAGCTGGTTCCTTAATCATGGGACTAGCTCTTTATTTGTGGTTCACAGTTTCTTATTCAAAGACCAAAATTATTTAAAAATATATCAACTACATTTTTAGAATGTTCATCAAGTTAATGTGAGTGAACATGATTAACAGTTAAATTACCAATTACTTATCCAATCATTTAATATACAATTAAGGAGTTGGGGGTTGACTAGCTGTACATAACACCCCAAGAGAGACCGACATCCCTGCGACTTAGTGTTCTGAAGGAGAGGGATATGCCACTCCCCAAACTGAAACCTTGTTTGTGAGCAATATGCTGCCACTTGTCATGCCTCCATCCTGCTTCTATGATCGAGGTTGAATAATGAGCTGGCTTTTGATTGGCTATATGACAAAATTACTGGGTCATCCTAAGTGACATATTCCTGCAACTGCTGTTCCATTATGAAGAGATAAGGCTATGTCACTCCCAGAGATGAATCTTGATTTCTGATTTGACAAATATATTTACCAAATTTTTATTTTATTTTTCTTTGTTCGTAAATATGCACTATGCATGTAAAAATCAGAAAAAAGCAATATTCACCAGTTCATTGCAAATCTAGCTGTAATACTTTTACAGAAATTATATCTGCAAATGTAATCTGTAAGAATTTATATTTATTAGATAAATTAAGAATAGGAAAAATGTCTAAATTTGTTAAAATTTATTTGTAGCAACTAAAAACTTTTCTGATTAATCTAGTGTCTTTTGTTTGTTATGTAAGAAAAATAATATGGAGATGGTACGTGGGCACAGTTGAGTACCAAATAATCATATCTATTAATTGTATGGAAACATACAAAGTCTAGCTTAATGCTTACTGCTGCTCTGAGTGGTTTCTGATGGCTTCTAAGAGATAGAAAACAGTGAACCTTATGAGTGTTCACACAAACATAAGGAATATTACCTTATCCTATATACTACAATTAGCTGAACCAGCTAGTATCTTTAGTGTTGTTGCTATACAAGTCTCACAGTAGCATTGTGACTCAGTACTCTTTTATGGAATTTGAATAACTCTGTATCTGTGGCTAGAATATCTCCACCTTCTTTCCCTTTTAATTCTAAAATTCCATACCTGAAATGCCTATTCTGAGATTGACCAAGTTTATGGAAAAAGGTAAAATGATTCCCAATGTTTCATGTTATCACAACAACTTCGTACCTATAAACTTTAGGCTTTAAACTAGGTTCGCTGATCGATTGAGGCCTAAGCCCCGAGGAAAGTGGGATACCAGGAGGAAACACAAGGAGGAGGGTGCAACAGGGAAGGCCTCCTGATTCATACTGAGAAAGTAGGGCAGTCAGCTAGTTATCTTGGGTGCCTGTACACAAATGCAAGAAGCCTGGGAAACAAGCAGGAAGCATTGGAAGTCTGGCACAGTCGAGGAACTATGATGTGATTGGAATAACAGAGGCTTGGTGGCGTAACTCACACGACTGGAGCACTGTCATGGATGTGTATACACTGTTCAGGAAGGACAGGCAGGGGAGAAAAGGTGGAGGAGTTGCACTGTATGTAAGAGAGTGGTATGATTGCTCAGAGCTCCAGTATGAAACTGGAGAAAAGCCTGTTGAGAGTCTTTGGATTAAGTTTAGAGGCAAGTGCAACAAGGATGATGTCGTGGTGCACATCTGCTATAGACCACCAGACGATGAGGTAGACAAGACTTTCTTCGGACAACAAACAGATGTTTCCAGATCATAGGCCCTGGTTCTCATGGGGGACTTCAGTCACCCTGAAATCTGCTGGGCGAGCAATGCAGCAGTGCACAGACAATCCAGGAAGCTTTTTGGAGAGTGTTGGGGATAACTTCCTGGTGCAAGTGCTGGAGGAACCAACCACGGGCTATGCTCCTCTTGACCTGCTGCTCACAAACAGGGAAGAATTGGTAGGGAAAGTAAAAGTGGGTGTCAGCCTGGGCAGCAGTGACCATGAGATGGTCGAGTTCAGGATCCTGACAAAAGGAAGGAAGGAGAGCAGCAGAATACGTACCCTGGACTTCAGAAAAGCAGACTTTGACTCCCTCAGGGAAGTGATGGCCAGGATCCCATGGGAGGCTAATATGAGGGATAAAGGAGTCCAGGGGAGCTGGCTGTATTTTAAAGAAACCTTATTGAGGGTGCAAGAACAAACCATCCCAATGTGCAGAAAGAATAGCAAATATGGCAGGCAACCAGCTTGGTTCAACAAAGAAATCTTTGGTGAGCATAAGCACAAAAAGCAAGCTTACAGGAAGTGGAAACTTGGACAGATGACTAGGGAGGAGTATAAAAATATTGCTTGAGCATGCAGGGGTGTAATCAGGAAGGCCAAGGCACAATTGGCGTTGCAGATAGCAAGAGATGTGAAGGGTAACAAGAAGGGTTTCTACAGCTATGTTAGCAACAAGAAGAAGGTCAGGGAAAGTGTGGGACCCTTACTGAATGGGAGAGGCAACCTAGAGACAGATGATGTGGAAAAAGCTGAAGTACTCAATGCTTTTTTTTTTTTTTTTCCCCTTCCTCGGTCTTCACAGACAAGGTCAGCTCCCAGACTGCTACCCTGGGCAAAACAATGTGGGGAGGAGGTGAGCAGCCCTCAATGGTGAAAGAACAGGTAAAGGACTATTTAGAAAAGCTGGACATGCACAAATCCATGGGGCTGGATGCAATGCATTGGAGAGAGTTGGCTGATGTGATTGCAGAGCCATTGGCCGTTTTCTTTGAAAACTCGTGGCGATCAGGGGAGGTCCCGGACGATTGGAAAAGGCAAATATAGTGCCCATCTTTAAGAAAGGGAAGAAGGAGGATCTAGGGAACTACAGCCCCACCTCAGTCCCTGGAAAAATCATAGAGCAGGTCCCCAAGGAATCCATTTTGAAGCACTTGGAGGAGAGGAAGGTGATCAGGAACAGTCAGCATGGATTCACCAAGGGCAGGTCATGCCTGACCAACCTGATTGCCTTCTATGATGAGATAACTGGCTCTGTGGACATGGGGAAAGCGGTGGACGTGATATACCTTGACTTTAGCTCAACAGGTAGTGATCAACGGCTCAATGTCTAGTTGGCAGCAGGTATCAAGCGGAGTGCCCCAGGGGTCGGTCCTGGGTCCGGTTTTGTTCAACATCTTCATTAATGAGCTGGATGATGGGATGGTTTGCACCTTTAGCAAGTTCATGGATGACATTAAGCTGGGGGAGAGGTAGATATGCTGGAGGGTAGGGCTAGAGTCCAGAGTGACCTAGACAAATTGGAGGATTGGGCCAAAAGAAATCGGATGAGGTTCAACAAGGACAAGTGCAGAGTCCTGCAATTAGGATGGAAGAATCCCATGCACTGCTACAGACTAGGGACTGACTGGCTAAACAGCAGTTCTGCAGAAAAGGACCTGGGGATTACAGTGCCCTTGTTGCCAAGAAGGCTAACAGCATATTGGGCTACATTAGTAGGGGCGTTGCTAGCCAATCGAGGGAAGTGATTATTCCCCTCTATTCGACACTGATGAGGCCACATCTGGAGTATTGCATCCAGCTTTGGGCCCCCCACTACAGAAAGGATGTGGACAAATTGGAGAGAGTCCAGCAGAGGGCAACAAAAATTATTAGGGGACTGGGGCATAACTTATGAGGAGAGGCTGAGGGAACTGGGCTTATTTAGTCTGCAGAAGAGAAGAGTAAGGGGGTGATTTGGTAGGAGCCTTCAACTACCTGAAAGGGGCGGGTGGGATTCCAAAGAGGATGGAGCTCAGCCGTTCTCAGTGTTGGCAGATGACAGAACAAGGAGCAATGGTCTCAAGTTGGAGTCGGGGAGGTCTAGGTTGGATATTAGGAAAAACTATTTCACTGGCAGGATGGTGAAGCACTGGAATGGATTACATAGGGAGGTGGTGGAATCTCCATCCTTAGAGGTTTTTAAGGCCTCGCTTGACATAGCTCTGGCTGGGATGATTTAGTTGGTGTTGGTCCTGCTTTGAGCAGGGGGTTGGACTAGATGACCTCCTGAGGTCTCTTCCAGCCCTACTATTCTATGATTCTATAATCACAATACCTTTGCTTTAACAAACTCTGTTATGCAGATAATTTTGATAACTACTTCTATTGACCTAATCAATGTT